ATTTTACTGCTTTTATTTCTACTTTTAATTCCATTTCTTTATACTTCTCTATAATAATGAATGTTTTCCAGTACCTTTGGCTCACTGATTTCTTTTTTTCATGTATAATTATTTATTTTCAGAGAGAGAGAGAGAGAGCACTCACATGAGCAAGTTAAGGGCAGAGAGTGAGGGAGAGAGAATCCTACATAGTCTCCACATTTTCAGCACAGAGCCTGATGGTGGGGATCCATCTCATGAACAGCAAGGGCATAAACTGAGCCAAAATCAAGAATCAGATGCTTAGCTGACTGAGCCACCCAGGCACTCATCACTGATTTCTTTAGGACAAAATATAGCATGCTATTTATTAGCTGTCTAAATTAAAGTATTTTTTAAAAAAAGTCTTCCTTGTTTCTCTGTTCATATGCTTGCATGATTACAGCTTTCTCTCTCCTGATGATTTTATTTATATTCTGTAGCTCTATCACAAAAGCCAGAATGTAGGTATCAATTCATATATGAATGCATGAATTCACCTATCATCTGTTAAAGTAGTATGTGTGTGAAGGACAAAAGGGAAGGATACTGGGTGACATGTGGACGATGTGAAACCCTACATTTAAGGAGCTTAAATTTCAAGAGAAAGAGAAAAAATTGAGAAACATTAACTCAGAAATTCATTATTAAAACTGTATATTAAGTGCTTAATGGCATATAATTTTTCGAGGGTGTAGGTCTGGTTCTTGACTTTGTACAGCTAATATCTAAGTCATGAAAGTTACTGCACACACACAGACACATAGCCTTTAGGAAAACAGAAACAACAATTGAAGGGGAGAAAGATAAGGAGAAACTACTAATTTGAGTGTGGCTGAGATTTAGTTTTAAAGGGGAAAAGCAGGGCAACTGAGCAGTGATTATTATGATCTAAATCATTATGATTTAAATCATTTTAAAAGAAAGATACACACCCACACACACATAATTTAAATTCAAGTTTGTTAACATTCAGAGTAGTCTTGGCTTCAGGAGTAGAACCCAGTGATTCATCACTAACATACGACACCGAGTACTCATCCTGAAAAGTGCCCTTGTTAACGCCCATCACCCATTTAACCCAACCCCCACTCACATGCCCTCGAACATCTCTCAGTTTGTTCTTTGTAGTTTAGAGTCTCTTATGGTTTGCCTCCCTCTCTGCTTTTATTTTATTTTCCCTTTCCTTCCCCTATGTTCATCTGTTGAGTTTCTCAAATTCCACATATGAGTGACATCATATGATGTCTATCTTTCTCTGACAGGCTTATTTCACTTAGCATAATACCCTCTAGTTCCATCCACATACTTGCAAATGGCAAGATTTCATTCTTCTCATTGCCAAGTAGTATTCCATTGTGTGTGTGTGTGTGTGTGTGTGTGTGTGTGTGTGTGTGTACCAAATCTTTCTTAATCCAGTTATCAGTGGATGAACATTTTGGCTCTTTCCATAATTAGGCTATTGTTAATAGCACTGCTATAAATATTGGGGTGTATGTGCCCCTATGAATCAGCATTTTTGTATCCTTTGGATAAATTCCTAGTAGTCCAATAGCTGGGTTGAAGGGTAGTTCTATTTTTATTTTTTTTAATTAAAAAAGGAACCTCCATACTGTTTTCCAGAGTGGTTGCACCAGTTTGCATTCTCACCAACAGTGCAAAAGGGTTCCTTTTCTCCACATCCTCGCCAACATCTGTTGTTTCCTGAGTTGTTAATTTTAGCCATTCTGACAGGTGTGAAGTGGTATCTCATTGTGGTTTTGATTTCTATTTCCCTTATGAGTGACATTGAGCCTTTCTTCATGTGTCTGTTAGACATCTGGATTAAAGTGTCTATTCATACCTTTTGCTGATTACTTCACTAGATTGTTTTTTGTGTGTTGAGTTTGGTAAATTCTTTACAGATTTTGAATACTAACCCTTTATCTGCTATGTCATTTGCAAATACCTTCTCCCATTCCATTAGTTGCCTTTTAGTTTTGTTGATTGTTTCCTTTGCTCTGCAGAAGGTTTTTATCTTGATGAGGTCCCAGTAGTTCATTTCTGTTGTTATTTCTCTTGCCTCTGAAGATATATCAAGTAAGAAGTTGCTATGGCCTAGGTCAAAGAGGCTGTTGCCTGTTTTCCACTCTAGGATTCTGATGGTTTCCAGTGTCACATTTAGGTTTTTCATGCATTTTGAATTTATTGAATCTGTGTTGTAAGAAAGTATCTACGTTCATTCTTCTGCATGTTGCTGTCCAGTTCTCCCAGCACCATTTGCTAGAAAATATCTTTTTTTTTTCCGTTGGATAATCTTTCCTGTTTTGTCAAAGATTAGTTGGCCATATATTTGTGCTTCCATTCTGTATTCTCTATGCTATTCCATTGGTCTATGTGTTTCTTTTTGTGCCAATAATATCCTGTCTTGATTATTACAGCTTTGCAATACAGGTTAAAGTCTGGATTTGTGATTCCTCCAACTTTGGTTTTCTTTTTTAAGATTACATTGGGTATTTGGGGTCCAGAATTATTTGTTCTAGTTCTGTGAAGAATGCTAGTGTTATTTTGATATGGATTGCATTGAATGTGTAGATTTCTTTAGGTAATATTGACATTGTAACAACATTTGTTCTTCCAATCCATGAGCATGGAATGTTTTTCCATTTCTTTGTGTCTTCAGTTT